AACTTTCCCAGACAAGAAAAAGTTAAAGGAGTTCATCACTACCAAACCGTTATTATATGAAATGATGAAGGGTCTTTTTGAAGAAAAAGATAAAATGTATGAACAAACAAAATGGTGAATACATATCTATCAACAATGGAATCTACAAACAAAATGAACAGGCAGAACAGAAACATTCTCATAGATACAGAGAACATTTTGTTGGTTGCCAGTTGGGAAGGGGGTTGGGGGAATGGGTGAAAAAGGTGAAGGGATTAAGAAGCACAAATTCATTGCTAGACTGACAAACCTCAAAGGGAAAGGGGTTGGGGGGGGTGGGAAGAGATAAACCAAAGAACTTATATGCATAACCAATGGACACAGACAATAATGTGGGAAAAGGTGGGAGGGGGGCGGGAGTGGGGAGGAGGGGGTCAATGGGGGAAAAATGTGGAACATCTGTAATACGTTTTACATCCAACAATATAGATGTGAAAAAAAAAGAAAGATTAGTTACTTGATGGGTTGGTTAATTGGTAGATTAATTAATAAAGGTTTTGTTAATTGATCTAAAAAAAAACAGATAAGATTCGAAGAATGGCAGGCTGTAGACATGTGACCTCATTAGTACAGAGACCTTAAAATGTTTGGCAGAGCTTCATCCTGCTGATCATGTATCATTAACAGAGAATTTAGAAAATAGTGATAATTTCGACAACTAGATTGTGGTGATGTTAGAATAAGAGAGAAATGTGAGGAAGGAGAGAAAATGAATATGAATAGACATATAAATAGTTGGCATCTTTAAATAGCTTTGAGCTCTGGGATAAACACACTAAAATAAAAAGTACTGTCCAGGATATTCATTGAGTTACAATTATAGCCCCATGCCATTGATTTCATGGTTCTAAATTCCAGTTTTGAAACCAAAGGTATCAAATGTGATTAATATTGGTGAAAGATATTTAATACCAATAGTTATAATCTACATTTTTAATTCCATGCAATTTATACTTGACTGTTTTGCTATTTTTGTTTATAGTACTTTTATGTTGGCTTTTATGTCTTGTGTAAATAGTGAAAAACTAAAACTAATATACAACATTTAATTTAACTATAACCAATATTTAATTATGTAGCTCTAAGGGGGAGAAGATTTGGAGCTATTACATAAATCTAGAGAAATTACAGTTTTGTTTCATGGTGACTGTTCTTGTGCCCACGTGAGCTTCCTTTATTGCCCACACTCCCTTAATCGCATGTGCTGTTTTATTTTCAGTGGATCTCCCATTCAGGAGGACTTGCCCATTAATCATCTGTAAGCTTCCATTATGAAGAAGCAGATGATGGATGTTATTCACAAGTCATTTTCATAACCAATTGCTTCCATTTTATTTCAAAAAGAATGAAACAAGTTATATAGAATATTTAAAATTTGTTATCAAATTGTTCTTCAGTTATTTACTTACCCATGCATTAAATAAGTATATATTGACTACATATGTTTTGCCAAGAATTTTCCTAGACACTGGGGAGACAGCAGCAAAAACAAACAAACAAACAAAAAACACAAACAAACAAACAAACAAAAACAAAAACAAACAACAAACAATAATCTCTGCATTCATGGAACTTACATTTTAGTCAGAAAGAGAAAGACACTAAGCAAATAATCAAAAAATATGTTTTATGGCCAGAGGTGATATGTGCTGTGGGAAATAATCAAACAGAAAGCCAAGATAAGAAGTGCTACAGGTGAGGGTGAAATGAAGTTTTCCAGTAGTCAGGCATGGTCACATGAGGCCATAGTTTCTGTGCAAAAAAAAAACAATACAAAACAAGTTGTGGAGCAAAGAAGTGATGTGTATATCGGAAGGTACTGTATATGCAGAGTTCCTGAGGACAGAGCAAGCCTGATTTACATGAGGATGATCATGGTAAAGACTTTTGTGTTTACTTCATGAAGGCTAGAAAGCCATGGAAGGTATTTGAGCAAAGGAGATATGATCACACTCATATAAAAGAGGCAAAATAAGAACATATTATTATAATCCAGAAAGAATGCTGTTCTCTTGAACAGTAGTAGTGGAGGTGGTAAGATATAGTCAGATACTTTTTTTTTTTTTTAATTTTTTTTCTTTTTTGATTTTAGAGAGAAGAAGGTGGAGAGAGAGAGAGAGAGAGAGAGAGAAAAACATTGATGAGAGAGTACATCGATTGGCTGCCTCCTGCATGCCCCCTACTGAGGATCAGGCCCACAACCTGGGCCTGTGCCCTGACCAGGAATCAAACCAGTAATCTCTTGGTGCATGGGTCGACGCTCACCTACTGAGCCACACTGGCTGAGCATAATAGTCAGATTCTTGATGTGTTTTCTAGATAAAGCAAAGACAGGCTGATTGATGGCATATATTCAGTGAGAGACAGAGATGATTTCAAATTTCTTGCCTGAATTGAAGCATGAAGTTGTCATGACCTAAGGTGGTAAAGAATGTGGGAGAGAAAGACCAGGCAGAGAAAATCAGAACTTTACTTTTGGACTTATTTTTATTGAGATAGTTAGTTAGCCAGGTAAAGGGGCCACATCAGCAGCAGGATATCTATTGGAGTCCAGTTATAAAGGTCTGGGCATTGAGAATTTTATGAGTCACTGGCATTTGGGAAAGGTTTTAAAGGTGTGAGACTAGGTGATATTAATAAGATCATGACCTTGAGAAGACGAGGGGAGGGGAGGGGAGGGGAGGGAAAAGATCCAAGAACTGAGCTCTGGGAGACTTTAATGTTACTTTGTTAATCTTGAGGAGATAAGGTAAAAACCAGCAAAGGAAACTAAGAAAGAACAGTTAGGAATTTAAGAGGAAAATCAGGAAAAATATTATCTACTAGAATCTAAGGAAGAAGAGGGATGATCAGCTAGGTCCAATATTACTGATACATCAGATATGTTGGGGAGAGAAAATTTAATTCTAGATTTAGCTATACTGGGTTCATCCTTTATAAATGCAGTTCCAGTGGAGTGGTAGGGTAAGAAAGAAGGAATAAAGTTCTAATAAATGGTACAACATGAATGAACCTTGAAAACATTGTGCTAAGTGAAAGGAGTCAAACACAAAAGGCCACATATTGCATGATTTCATTTATATGGAATATCCTGGGCAAATCCATGTAGACAGAAAGCAGATTAGTGGTTGCTAGAGGCTTGTGGTATGAGGGCGGAGAGAACGGGGAGTAACTGTTAATGGCTATGAGCTTTATTTTGGAATGATGAAAATATTTTGAAATTTGCTACTGGTGACGAGTGTAGAACACTGTGAATGTACTGAAAGCTGTTGAATTGTATACTTGCAAATGGTTAAAATGAATTAATGTTTTGTGAATTTTGTCTCAATAAAATATTTTTGACAAAAAACTTACCGGGACAGGTTAAAGAGAAAATGGGGTGGGGGGTAATTGGTGTGGAGTCAGTGAGAATATGAAAAACGTAGAAAAATTATTTGGAGGGGTTGTAGGTTCAGGAGTTTTCTTAAAATGGGTGGAATTTTGGCCACTTTGTGTAGTGAAGCTTTCCCCATGAAAACATGCTGGTGTAAAGGAGAGGAGGAAATGGCTGGAATGACGTCTTAGGAAAGAGGAGATGCATTTCTTATATAAGTGAAAGGAGTGAGCTTAGAACACAGCATGGCTCGTAGACCCACAGTTATAGGAGGAAAGGCATGTGGATAGCTGTGTAAGTAGATTGGTGACAGGATTTATGAAGTTTTCTTCTGATTTTTCCTCTGAAATGTGGAGCAAGACAGTTAGCAAAGAATGATAAGGTGAAATGAAGGATGATTGGCTGAAATGAAGGAGGAGGTGGAAATTTAAGGAGGAGGGTAAAAGGCTCTGAAGAGTGTCTAGGAGTCGAGGAAAAGGAAGTGATTAGGAAAACGCAGTATGGGATTGCCACAGCGCAATGAAGTGAGTAGTCACAAATATGTCACTTTGATCATCATGATTGCAGGCTCCTCTTCATTCAAATTCTGCTTCACTGATGCAGTAGGTGGTGGTTTTTATGTCGATCTGAGCCTATCCATAGTGATGCCATCAGCTAGGAATGCCTGGGGCAGTCACCTGGGCCCTTACTACTCCTGGAAACCCCCACAGACATTCATTTCCTGGAGCCAGAGTTGTGGCTGGACCAGACCTTGTGGTGGTTCTTATCATGATAAGGTTCTAATTATGATCAGCAACAAACATCAAGGGAGTTTTAAATAACAAGGTTCATTACTCACAGGTCCTAGAGGATAGGATGTGTGCAAGCCTGGGGGCCACACTTTAGGGCATGGTGGGCAAAGGGGAGAGACCAAGACCCAGGGTTTCTGCCTTTATTGAAATCAAGGGTGAGAGACCTAAGGTTTTGTGGGTTTGTTCTTTATTGGTAAATTTTTAAAAAAAGAAAAGCAGAAAAAGGAAAAGCAGGGTCTGTCAGATGGTCAGTGATCTAGGTTCGTTATCTAGGTCAGCCAAGACCTAGATAATGGAAACTTCACGGGTTGGTATGCCTTGCTCTTTATCCAGTTGTGTAGCTGGCCTTGGTTTATTCTAAAACTTAATGTCAGGCAATTACATGACAATTAAAAAGCTAACTGTTGGGCAATTACAGTATGTGTAGAGTTGTACTTACCAGTTTTTGCCCTGAGAGTGTGAGGAAGCATGAGATGGGTCAAGGGTGACTGGCTGGCTAACACCTGAAGAAGGAAAAAGAGAACATGAGAGAGGTTGAAAGGAACTGAAAAGATGGTGGGGCCATTAGCTGGGAGGGCCTGGTGCTGTCAAAAACTTGTTGCAGTTGAGATACTAGAAGGAGTGAGCTGGAGCAATGGGGGTAAAGGTTGCCGAGTGGGCCACTCATAATTAAGATACAGGAAATGTTATTAGTAATGATAATACTCAGAGGAGTAGTGACAGCACTGTCATTTTTCATCAATGTTCTTCACAATCACCAATAAGAAGAAATCAAGAACTTAAGAAGCGAGGTGAAGATGAATATTGAAATGACAAAGAATGACAGTGAGGCAAGGGCTAGAATCATGAAGGACTGAGGGATAGCGCACCACCATCTATAGATGACTCACCAAGATGGCACAGAGCGTGATACCCTTTGATGTCAAGAGGTTCAAAGCTTGGATATTTAGGAAAGTGAGAGTGAGAATTATCTGGAAGAGGCAAGCGGTGCAGGAAGGACACCTATCCACTTCTAAGTTCTGTGTTGGGAGGGCTACGGGACAAAAAACAGGCACCGTGAGGGGGCTGCAGAGAAAGTCGTTCCAAGGCAGATCCAGCTTCTAGTGAAAGAGGTCACTATATGTTCTATCTGATGCATGCACTATTACCCTCTTAATAACAGGCTCTTAATTTTCATGTTAGGGCAGGTTACGTCTGTGGAGATGAAAGGTTTGGTTTTAGCACTCACCACAGAATTAAAACCCAGAAGCTGGGGCATGGTTTTTATATTCTCTATTTCTGGAATGGGTCTACCTAATGAGTGACACTGCCATAAAGAAGAGTTGGATGGAGAGAGTGTTGTAGAACAAATGTTAATGTTTTAAAAAATAAATGACTCTCCCTAGTTGCTTCTGCCTCTCACTCTTGCCAATTTTGACATTTAACAGATGAAACTTTACCATGTCAAGAAGCATCAGACATCAAGCAGGAACTGTGCCATCCAGGTACAAGTCTCTGCAGATTTGGCTCTACTGGTGAAGGTTTAAGGTGTAAATGTTAAATGGATATGCTCAGCTTGTTGATGTGTGATCCATTTATGAGACTCAAATCACTAATAGGAATACCAGATACTCACTTGGCATTTATTGACATATATGCCCAAGTTTTAGCAAGAGTGTTATTGGAGATTTAGCTGGAATGTTGTTAGAAGACTGATTTATTCAACAAGTGAAAGATACTAAATATGTCAATTTAAGGTGATGTGTTGTAAAATAATTCCATTAAAGACCATCTTGGAATTATATGCTACAGTTCTTCTTTAAAATCTCAATGTGTTTATGAATAATTGGTAAGATAAACAAATTTATATCCATAAAGTGGCTAGGTAAGATATTATGCTATTTAAAAAATCAAAACCAAAGCAGCTGTCCAAGGAAAGATAGAAACTTTTCATTTTTTATGACAATGGTTTTCATTTTGGAGAATGCCCATCTGAGTCAACTGAAGAACTTGACACATAGAGTTGCTGGTCCACTCTAAGACACTGAACCAAAATTTTCCAGATATGAATTTCTGTGGGAGTGTGTTTAAACTCGAGTGCAACACCAACCATGGTAGTAGCCACCCTCATAGACTGAGAGTCCACCAAGCTCTGTCTCTCCTCTCTCAGTGTGTCAGCCCTGTGGATTTGAATTTGGTATGTGTGACTGGGCATCAGAAGCACCTGCTGGGCAAATTTCCTGGATGCACACAAAAGCAAAAGGAGTTTCTGCATTAGAATCTACACCTCAGCAGGATCAAAGTAGTGATGATAAAGGTAGGAAATAAATATAATATCTTTTATATGTTACATTTCAGATTGTGCTTTATTGTGACTAGTATGCAGACCTTTGATTAGGGGTCTTGATGAACATACTGAGTATATTTTATTGTAACTATATTACACCTTAGATATTGAAAGTGAAAATACAAAACAAAAATAAAAACAACAGTCTAAAGGAAGAATTTTATTAGGTTAATTAACTATTTTAATTTTGTAAATTTTATCATCAGGAGATAATAGATTTTGCTTGAACAACAAAAAAAGTTTTATCAAGACTATTAGCTCTCCCTATCCCTGCAGTATTGTCAATGTGTTTCTGCCTCTTATTCTAACCCTAAATTTATGATTTCTGTGTACTTTTCTCTCTATTGCTTTATTTCTCTTTTGTGTGTTTGTGTGTGTGTGTGATATTATTAGTTATTTTAAAAATGTATAATGTAAAGTTTTATTTCAGCAGAAACTAATCTAGTTCCATGCAGATTTTATTGTCTCTATAGTTTTGCCTTTTATAGAGCATCATATAGTTGGAGCCATATAGTACGTAGCCTTTTCAGATTGGCTCCTGAGGAATATGTGTTTAAATTTTCTCTGATGTCTATGGATTCATGAGTTACATTTAAGTCTTTTATCCATTTTGAGTTTATTCTCGTGTAGGGTGTAAGTTGATGGTCTAGTTTCATTTTTCTCCAAGTAGCTGTCCAATTTTCCCAGCACCATTTATTAAAGAGGCTGTCCTTACTCCACTGTATGCTCTTGCCACCTTTGTCAAATATTAATTGAGCATATTGCCTTGGGTCCATTTCTGGGTTCTCTGTTCTGTTCCACTGGTCTATATGCCTGTTCTTGTGCCAGTACCAGGCTGTTTTGATTACAGTGGCTTTGTAGTATAACCTGAAATCTGGCATTGTGATCCCTCCAACTTTGTTCTTCCTTTTCAAGATTGCTGTGGCTATTCGAGGCCTTTTATGGTTCCATGTGAACTTTTGAAATAATTGTTCTAATTCTGTGAAGTATGCCGTTGTTATTTTGATGGGGATTGCGTTGAATCTATAGACTGCTTTGGGTAATATGGACATTTTAATGATGTTAATTCTCCCAATCTATGAACAGGGTATGTGCTTCCACTTTTTTATATCTTCCTCTATTTCTTTTTTCAATGACCTGTAGTTTTCTGCAAATAGGTCCTTTACTTCTTTGGTTAAGTTTATTCCTAGGTATCTTAATTTTTTTGCTGCAATGGTAAATGGGATTTTTTGCTTAGTTTCTCTTTCAGTGAGTTCATCATTGGTGTATAAGAATGCTATCGATTTCTTTTTTTTTTTTTTTATCCTCACCCGAGGACATTTTTCCAATTTTTGTACAGATAGAGTGGGAGGGAGAGAGAGAGAGAGAGAGAAACATCGACGTGAAAGGGACACATTGAGTGGCCGCCACCCACACGACCAACCAGGGCCGGGGACAAACTGCAACCGAAGTACGTGCCCTTAGTGGGAACCAACCCGGGTCTCTCCAGACCGCAGGCCGACACTCTAACCGCTGAGCCAAACCGGCCAGGGCTGCCATCAATTTCTTGATATTAATTTTGTATCCTGCTACTTTGCCAAATTCATTTATTAAGTCTAGTAAACTTTTGATGGAGTCTTTGGGGTTTTCTATGTATAGTATCATGTCATCCGCAAATCCATAAAAATCCTAGAAGAGACTGTAGGCAACAAAATTTCACACATCATACGCAGCAGAATTTTTACTGATACATCACCTAAGGCAATAGAAACAAAGGAGAAAATGAACACATGGGACTAAATCAAACTCAAAAGCTTCTGCACAGCAAAATAAATAATCATCAAAATGGAAAGGCTACCCACTGTATGGGAGAGCATAATTGCCAGTGATATATCAGGTAAGGGGTTAATTTCCAATACATATAGAGTGCTCATACAACTCCACAAAAGAACCCAATTAAAAAATGGGCAGAGGAGCTGAATAGACACCTCTCCAGACAGGACATACAAATGACTAAGAAACATATGAAGAAATGCTCATCATCACTAATCATCAGAGAGATGCAAATTAAAACAACAATGAGGTATCACCTCACACCTGTCAGAATGGCCGCCATCAACAAATCATCAATCAACAAGTGTTGGCGAGGGTGTGGAGAAAAGGGGACTCTAGTACACTGCTGGTGGGAATGCAGACTGGTACAGCCACTATGGAAAACAATGTGGTGTTACCTCAAAAAATTAAAAATTGAACTTCCATTTGACCCAGTGATCCCACTTCTAGGAATATACCCTAAGAAGCCTGAAACACCAATCAGGAAGAATATATGTACCCCCATGTTTGGAGCAGCACTATTTACAATAGCTAAGATCTGGAAACAGCCCAAGTGTCCATCAGTAGACGAATGGATAAAAGAGCAGTGGTACATATACACAATGGAGTACTACGCAGCTGTAAGAAAGAAAGACCTCTTATCCTTTGAGACTACATGGAGGGACCTGGAAAGTATCATCCTAAGTGAAACAAGCCAAACAGAGAAAGACAAGTTTCATATGATCTCACTTATTTGTGGAATATTATGAACATAACAGTCTGAGGAAGGGGGTAGTCCCAGAGACGCAGAAGTGGGATACAGACTGACAATCCCCTAAATAGGGAGGTGGTGGGGAAGAGATAAACCACAGAATTTATATGCATGTATGCTTGAACAGTGGACATGGACAACAAACTGGGGAAAGGGCAGGGAGGGAAGGGGAGGGGGGAATCAGTGAGGGAAAAAGGAGAAACATATGTAACAAAAATTAATTAATAAAAAAAAAAATTTCTCTGATGTCTTTTTAATGCTGAATTATATTTCAATGTCTGGATGCATCACAGTTTATCCATTCACTACTGGAGGACATCTTGGTTGCTTTCGAGGTTTACCATGATGACTAAAGCTCCTCCGAACATCCATGTGCAGGTTTCTGTGTAGATCTAAGTTTTCAGCTCTTTTGAGTAAATACCATGGAGCATGATTGCTGAATCATATGGTAAAAGTATATTTACCATATGATGTTTTTTAAGAAACCACTCAACTGTCTTCAAAAGTGTCTGTACCATACTGTGCTTCCACCAGACATGAATACAATGTCTTTGCGCTACATCCTCTCCAGGGGTTAGTGGTGGCAGTGTTCTGGATTCTGGCCATTTTAATAAGTGTATAATGGAATCTGATTGTTTAATTTTCATTTCCCTGATGACATTATATGGAGCATTTTTTTTTTATATGCACATTTGTCATTTGTGTATCTTCTTTATTAAATGTCTGTTAAGGTCTTTACTTGTTAATCGTTTATTTTATTTGTTCTCATTGGCTTAGAAGCTTTGATTTATGTATCTTATATTTTTATGGCTATTTAAAATTTTTGACATATATCTTTAATATTACATTCTTTAACAAAACCTTGAGTGCTTCAATATATTTGTTTCTTTCTGGAATAGAAGGAACTTGTCATAATTTATTTATTGTTACTTTTTTATAATACATTTTTATTGATTTTTAGAGAGAAAGGAAGGGGAAGGAGAAAGAGATAGAAACATTTATGTTAGAGAGAAGCATCAATTAGCTGCCTCCTGCATGCCCACTACTGGGGATCAAGCCTGTCACCTGGGCAAGTGCCCTGACTGGAAATAGAACCAGTGACCTCTTGGCGCATGGGTTGATGCTCAATTTTATTTTATTGTTTTTCAGCACCATTTATTCCTCCCATCCTCTCCCACTTTCACCCCCAAACTTTTTTTGTCTTGAATTATAGTTTAATACTTTCAAATATGTTTTTAAGTAAATAGTTTTTGAAGCGATCATGTTTTCAATTATTACAATGATATATTTTATCATTTTTTAAAAAATTTTTATTTAATTTTTTGTTACAGATATTTTACCTTTTTTACCCCATTGGCACCCCCCTCCCCACCCCACCCCCGCCCCGTCCCCAGCTTAGTTGTCCATGTCCATTGGTCATGCATACATGCATATAAGTTCTGTGGTTTATCTCTTCCCACCCACCCCCATTCCCTCTTCTGAGGGATGTCAGTCTGTGCCCTACTTCCATGTTTCTGGGTCTACTGTATTCCTCAGACTGTTATGTTCATTATATTCCGTATATAAGTGAGATCATGTGGTATTTGTCTTTCTCTGATTGGCTTATTTCACTTAGGATAATACTTTCTCTGATTGGCTTATTTCACTTAGGATAATACTTTCCCAGGTCCCTCCATGTCGTCTCAAAGAATAAGAGATCTTTCTTTCTTACCGCTGCATAGTACTCCATTGTGTATATGTACCACCGCTTTTTTTCCATTCGTCTACTGATAGACACTTGGGCTGTTTCCAGATCTTAGCTATTGTAAATAGTGCTGCTATGAACATGGGGGTACATATATTCTTCCTGATTGGTGTTTCAGGCTTCTTAGGGTATATTCCTAGAAGTGGGATCACTGGGTCAAATGGAAGTTCAATTTTAATTTTTTGAGGTAACACCATATTGTTTTCCATAGTGGCTGCACCAGTCTGCATTCCCACCAGCAGTGTACTAGAGTCCCCTTTTCTCCACACCCTCGCCAACACTTGTTGTTTGATGATTTGTTGATGGCGGCCATTCTGACAGGTGTGAGGTGATACCTCATTGTTGTTTTAATTTGCATCTCTCTGATGATTAGTGATGATGAGCATTTCTTCATATGTCTCTTGGCCATTTGTATGTCCTGTTTGGAGAGGTGTTTATTCAGCTCCTTTGCCCATTTTTTAATTGGGTTCTTTGTCTTCTTTTTGTTGAGTTGTATGAGCACTCTCTCTCTATATATATATATTGGAAATTAACCCCTTAACTGATATATCAATGGCAATGATGTTCTCCCATACAGTGGGTTGCCTTTCCATTTTGATTATTGTTTCTTTTGCTGTGCAGAAGCTTTTTAGTTTGATGGAGTCCCATGTGTTCATTTTTTCC